ACACTCACAGGCAATTTTTTGGGAGGGGCTGAAAGGCGTAGAAGAGCCGCTGAGAAGGGATGTAACATTTTCAAATGAGATACGTAGACATCAAATAGTTCAGACGTAAAACCACACTCTTCACATACAAAAACCTGAAATTCAAGCTGGTTCCATTTTTAAATGTTCATAATGAATCCTTTATATGACTTTATTACGGCTGAACCAGGATTCAGAAACATTCTTCAGACATATATGTTTATGACTCAGAATGTCAATAAACTCTGCCTCTTTGGTTACTTTTAAAGTTCACCGGTGTGCCTTCCGTGCGTGGCGTCCGAGGCGCGTCCGACCGACCGACGTTGTTGCTGGCTACGTGTTGACAACGCTAGCGTGACGTCCAGTGTTGTCAACAAGTGGCTAGCGCCGCCGTCGGTCGGTCGGTCGGACGCACGGCAGGAGGCACGCACGAAAGACACACCGGTGAACTCTGAAAGCAACCTTTTGAGGCAACATTTGGCACTCCCCCTTATACCCTAGAAAGCTTTGTGACCCTGCTCTATTCCTCAGCAAGAAATCTGGATCGCCGATTAACTAATTCTCATACTTGAAATAATGAAATTTTTTAACTTTAACTACCATTTACTTTTGAAATTAGGCTCTAACTTCGAGTACACTATACCTTATTCCTTCGCTCTTTATAACCATAGTTGTGTAGAACTCCATGAACTTTCCGTAGATGGGATTCTAGTGAACAACGTTGAGTGAACGATTTGTCACATTGTTCACATTTGTACGGGCGTACACCTGAAACTCTGTTTCGAATTTTTTCATACACCCATGCAGGCTCAGAAATAGATTGGCAAATAGCTGTGGCACCATCTGGTTCCTACTTTTCTTCAGAACTTAAAATCTTCAGGTACGAGGTACCGATTAATGATTCATTGGTTCAGACGTCTTTGCCTTATTTTCTTTCATGATTTTTGATTTATGGGAGAGGAGCAAAGCCCCTCCATAATTCTGAACCCTCTTTTTATCTTCGCGTCTATTTCATGTTATCTCCTGGTCGAAATGGGTGATTTACAAAAATGCAGTCTGTTATTTGTGCTTTTCGCTTTATACACCGAAATATAATATTTAATATTATTTACAATATTTACAAAAGCACAAAACAAAATATTTACAAAAGTGTTGTGCCGCTGAAGGTACAGGACAAGTTGAAGGTATCGTCCCCGTACTATTCTGTCGGAAGTGGTGGTATAACCAGTTCTCTTCCAGTAGGGATAAGCGCCGCTAAGCACCCGGTTGAGATTATGTGAGAGCTGAGAATGAGTTGACACCAAAGAAATCGATTTCCGAAGCAAGACTGGGCCTAACTGTAACATGTAGCCAAAATTGGAGGACAAAAAAGTTGGGCGATTAGTAACTGTAGTACACGCCACGCCCATTGTAAAATCTGTGGGAGAACGAACTAGAGAACCCTCATGATGTTGTTTTCGAAGTAGTCGTAGTCTGGAGGACAATGCTGGTGTGCAAGTTTAAAATTCTAAAACTAACAATAGCCCTAATGCTATCTGCCCCGAGGGAACCTGAAAGTTCTGTGTGCGCGGTCAGTTAGTTTTGCCGTAAAACGGTCTTCTTTGCTCTGCTCGATACTACTTGATCCCAGGATCGACGATTTTC